ACTGTAAGCTGAGACATGACCCTAACCCGCCAGATTGGAGTAAAGTCAGGGCTTCGACAAGTTCTCCAGGAAAATGGGCATGGGGCACTGACAGTTTTCTCAAATATGGAATGTGTTAATTATTTTATGACATGACAATCTTTTAGATAGACATAAGAGTAAATGAAATAATGTGCTCTAATATTTTGTGTAGAGGTACTTGAAATTTAGGTTGGATAAACGACATTATTGCTTAACGATTTCGGTAGAATTTGATGCATGATGCAAAAGTATAGATTTTTGTTTGTAGTGAAATTGTAACATTTTTTTTTATGTTGAAGTTTGAAATGAAGGGTTTGAGTTAAGAGTGTTTTGCAACCAATTATTATTTTCATGCATATTGTTTACTGTGATACTTGATTTGCTGTTTGATTTTGTTTTCTCTAAAAGTTGTATTATTCACTGTTCATTGTTAGTTGAACGCTGTTAGATAAAACTTGTCTGATTGGGGGAGTGAAAGAGGCGCTCTGACTGACACCAATCTGACCCTGATCTTGACTAGAATTGTTAGGAGACAGTGACTGAGGTGACCTTTAACTCCATCGTGTTATTCTAGGTACGCGTAGGATTGAGACGAAGGGAGGTGCACTAGAACCTCAATGTGATGACACACGTGCGTTACTGTGAGCTGTTTTTAAATGAAGGCTGAAGGTCCGAGGCACTTTAAGCCATTTAGAGACCAGTTACGTAACTGCAGCGAGGGTGTTAGAAATGTCGGGACGACATTGGTTTTGTAAGATGGGGGTAGTGTGGAGAGTTCGGACGACGACGCCCGTCGCCGTCTGACAGGTACAGCCGACGCCAGCTGACCAGAGATCACGACCGAAGGATCAAGCGCTGGGGCGCCTGGCCGTCTGACCACCCAGACACGACCGAAGGATCAAGCGCTGGGGGGCGGGGTATAATCTGGACTGGGAGAGGAACTATGGGACAGGGAGGTATAAATAGGGATCTCTGGACGGGACGAGAAGGAGAGCGCGGCCGGATGGTATAGGAGGAGCGCGTCCAGACAGAGAAGCAGATAGCAGGGAGAAGTCAGAGTTGTGAATTGAGAGAAAGAGTAAGCAAGGTGACAGCCCAAATAAAGAACACGAGTTTAATCATCAAATGTATCACCGGAGTTGTTTCCTTATTGAGTACCAGATCTAGATGAAGTTTGTCAGAGAGTAAGCAAGGTTTCCTTACAATATTGATAAATAAGAGAACCAAATTAAAATGCCAAGATTTTGCTTGCTTCAAGCCAAAAGACTGATGTCCTGGTACCTGATTCTTTAAATTATGTTACAAATGTTTATAGATTGAGAAACATTTTATTCAGAAAATATCTACTACCTCTACGAGCAGTGATGAAATTGAAAGCATTCCAGATTGTTTTTTTTTTTTATTCTTAGATTAGATATTAATATGTTTTGTGTTTACAGTTTGATCCAAAATATTTTGAGCCCTTATTTGTCCGGATATATCTAATATCAAAAACTGATATATCGTCATAAGTGAGTTTGATTATATTTCATGACTTAAGACGATTTACTTAAATATTAACAAATTACTTTTGTTCTATTGATTTCTTTTTAAGCTTGTAATAATGGCTATGGGATTTTCAAAATAAAATGAGTAAAACAGAGTAGGGTTAAACCTGAAAAAATAAACACAACAAAACAGCGAACGTGCCGGCAGAAAGCCTTCGTCAGCGAACAAAACAACAGAAAAACGGTATAAAAATAAAAATAAGAAATAGCACTTAGATGTTAAGTAGTATCTGTGGGCAGCAATAGAAGTGTGGGATTTTCAAAGAGTCAAAAAGGATATTTGATGTTGGTACACTGAAAATGTTCAATAATGTTTGGGCTGAGATTACTCTCTTATAGCCGTAGCTATTAAAGTGGCGGCTCGCCTCATCTGCTGGGCGTCGCCGTAAATCAAATCTTCGATGCGGGTCTCTGAGTCTCGACCCTCCGCCCCCTTCCCGCCTCTGGGACCGTCGACCACTGTGTGAGCCACGGTCTCGGGTGACTGGCCGCAAAATCGGCAGGGTAGTTTCCTTCTGTCATCGAGTCTGCGGAGACAGCAGCGCGTCGCGCAATGACCTGTCCTCATCAGGGTGAGGAGGCTGGCTCTGGTCGCCTCTCTTTAGCGTCCACCAGGGGTCGCGCTTGCTCGGTCGCCCGTTTTTTCCGGTAAAGCATCCGGTCCAGTTTCTCCTGCGGGCCCCGATCGTCTAAACCACATGTTACGAAAGTGGTCTTACCCACCAAAGCGGTGACTCCCAGCTGAGTCATTGGGTTTATCGGGTTGCGGTTGGGCCGCCGCCTTGTTTGGCCGAAACGTCCGCCCTGTCGTGCTGCGTCACCTCAACGTGCGAGTGCGGAAACCTTTAAGGTTACTTTGCCGCGTTTGGCGTGGATGCTACCTACTGTCTCCAGAACGGCATTTACCATCGTGGTCTCCATAGAGCTCCTTCCCACACGAGACCCCTGGTCTAGTCCGTGTTTAAGACCCTTTTCCAACATCTTCGCGCAGGCTTCAATTCGGTCTAATTCGTTTTGAATCCAGATCTGCAAGGTTTTAATAGCCTTTCCCCGAGTTCCAAAATACTAGATCGTTCGCGAACTTCGCGTTCTCGAATACTTTGCAATGACATCAGAATACTCACCTACTAAATGGTGTACCCGAGTCCATGATTATTTTGCTTGTTTTGTTGGGAACTGGCAGAGGTTTCTCTAATAACCATAACACAAGATTTTTGCAGAAAGCCCTGACATTGTCATAGGCAACACTGACAAGCTCCCCCTGGTCTTGTAACTTCCTGCTGAGTACGATCAGCTCCTGTGCAATGTCAAAAACCACCTCATCCTTCTCCCTGAAGGCTTTAAATGCTAAAAAATGTTCAAATAGTAGGCAGTATTAACCAATATTTATGAATTATTGATGCAAAGGAAGATACTATTGTAGGGAGGATGAATTTTGCTTTTTTATCGCAGAAAAGGCCTTTTTGATTAACCCCATTTGAAAGTGACTGCGGGCTGCATTAAATCTTAACACTTAACTTTGCTGTCATGTAGCGGGCCGCAAATGGGCTGCGGGCCGCGAGTTTGAGACCCCTGGACTTGACGGAGTACTCTAAGTTAATGAAAAGAAGTAGCGCTCTTAAGGTTGATACGAAACTGACCATCTATGGAAAGGAATTGAATTCGGATTGGACACCAATGTATTTGGGCGTGAAGGTGGATCAGAAGCTCTAGTTCCATAACCACATGCGCGAAAAGTGACAAAAATTAGGCATGGTGAAAAAGCTAGCTTTCACCTATTGGGGTGCTGACGCAAGACTCCTGAGGTCTACAGCCCTCGGGAGCGTAAGAGAAGCAATGGACTGTAGCCCTCCTGTCCAGACCTTTGCGAGCCGGACGGCTCTTGAGGGCCTGGATCGCACCCAAAATCGAGCTCTCAGGTTTGTATGCGGGGTGATGCGCACGACTCCCACGGGAGCGGTAGAATCATGGCGGACGTGGAGCGACTTGAAATCAGACGGATAAAGGCAGTCCTAATGACGGTGGAACGATACCGATGAATGGACAGGCGGGAACCCTGCTTCCAGTTACAAGATAATGGGTAAAGAAGTCCATCTTAAAGAGACCTTCCTTTATGGACACGGTCCACACTCTCGAGGAAGATGTGGCACTACCTAGAAGCAGAGAAAAAATAAGGGTTATCCGAGAAAGGGGCCCCGACGAAAGCCCAAATCGGCCTGATATACGGCTTACCATGACAAAAACTAAAGCCACTTAATGAATCGTTTACTTGGACACATCCATCAGAGCCTCATCATGAGATCAAATGCTATTAATTGAAACATTTACATGCTCAAATCAATTAGAGCCTCATCATTAAATCTACAGTCATCAAATGAAACATTTACATACTCACATCCATCAGAGCCTCGTCATTAGATCTAGAGCTATCAATTGAAACATTTACATGCTCAAATCCATCAGAGCCTCATCATTAGATCTAGAGCTATTATTTGAAACATTTACAAGGTCACATCCATCAGAGCCTCATCATTAGATCTAGAGCTATTATTTGAAACATTTACAAGGTCTCATCCATCAGAGCCTAATCATTAGTTCTAGAGCTATCAATTGAAACGATTACAAGGTCAAATCCATCAGCGCCTGATCATTAATTCTAGAGCTATCAATTGAAACGATTACAAGGTCACATCCATCAGAGCCTAATCATTAGATCTAGACCTATCAATTGAAACATTTACAAGGTCACATCCATCAGAGCCTCATCATTAGACCTACAGTCATCAAATGAAACATTTACAAGGTCACATCCATCAGAGCCTCATTGTTAGATCTAGAGCATCAATTGAAACATTTACAAGGTCACATTGAACAGAGCCCCATCATTGGACCTACAGTCATCAAATGAAACATTTACATGGTCACATCCATCAGAGCCTCATCATTAGATCATGAGCTATCAATTGAAACATTTACAAGGTCACATTCATCAGAGACTCATCATTATATCTAGAGCTATCAATTGAAACGTTTACAAGGTCACATCCATCAGAGCCTCATCATTAGATCTAGAGCTATCAATTGAAACATTTAGAAGGTCACATCCATCAGAGCCTCATCATTAGATCTAGAGCTATCAATTGAAACGTTTACTTGGACACATCCATCAGAGCCTTGTCATTAGATCTAGAGCTATCAATTGAAACGTTTACAAGGTCAAATCCATCAGAGCCTCATCATTAGACCTACAGTCATCAATAGGGACATGCACACGGACACACATTTGTTTGAGTTAAATTACCCATCTTCAATAACGATTTAATCTTATTCAATCCTGAACTGAAAAATTCTAATCTTTTGATTACGAAAAAATGTTTCGTTTTTTGCATTTCATAAAACATTCAAAACACAAAGACATATTCGTTTTGTATAGTCACATTTTATTTTTAAATCATTTAACACTTCAATAATAAAACAAAATTTGAAAACAATATTCATTACAACAAATATGGAAAATCATTTCATATATATATATAAAAGTGAAAGTTTGTTTGTGTGTGGCTGGATTTGTTCCGCATACGTTTTTACATGGATTGATGGATCTTGACCAAACTTGGCACATATGTCCATCATTATCCAGAAGGAACTCTTAATGGATTATGAAGTTTTGACAAAATTCATTTTGGGGCTGGGGGCCCCGAATTCGTTTCTTTCCTTATATGAGCTATATGAATAAAACAAAATAACAAATATTCCTACATCCATAGATGGATCTTTACCAAACTTAGTAAACATGGACTTGATTATCCATACTAAAAAAACTAAGGGTACTGACCTCATAATATTCATCCCTCTGGGGCAGGGGGCCCCGTTTCATTTTTCCTAATATAAGCCATATAAATATCAATAGGATTAAACAAGACTGTAGTTTCTATGTGAATTGCTGGATCTAGGCCTAGCGTTGTAGCAATAAACTTCATTGTCTGTATTGAAATATCGTTGCATTTAAAACTAAGAATATCCAATCTAGAATTTTCCAGAAAATCGATAATTTTAAAAAGCTATTATCTATGGCATCATTAAGTAGATTTTAACGGGACAAATTTTAAATTTTAACTTTATTGTTTATCCGTCTAATTGTCACAGGGCGTAACTAAATCGGTTCAGTTATGGAATGGGCCCCTGGGGCCCCTCAATTAACTTAAAAGAAAAAGAATTATAATTATGGCATCTGTTGAAGATTTTTAGCGTATTCGAAAAATTATTAGAAAAGTAGTTTTTACACATGTTTCGAGGATGTTATTAAATTTAATCTAGAATGTTCCAGAAAGTTCTAAATTGTTCCCATGGGATATATGGTAGGATCTAAGGGAATATTGAAATTTTAGTTAGTTCTATTCATTTCTATACGGCCCCGTAATTTACTGATCTCTCAGCAGCCCTGAGTATTTTTTTTTTCGTGATAGCAACCAAAGCGGTCAGGGTCCCATTATAATCTTTATCCCAATGGGATTAAGATCCCACCAGAAAACGGGATTCCACCGAGATGAAGATCCCAACTTTGAATATCTCCACCGGGATCGGGATCACACGGGAAAACGGAACTGCGCCGGGATCGAGGTCAGAATGGGATTAGGGTCCCAATGGGATCGGGGTCACACCAGGATGGGGTCCTAATGCAATCCAGGGCCACGCCGGGTATATAGGCTAGTATGTAAATAAAAACTAATTGTAGTCTAGCTCTATATGAATGTTTTATCTATTTTTAAATTTTCTTTATTCTGGTCGTCGTAACTTACTTTACTGTAATTTGATTTTTGTCTTAATTTGATCCTATACATTATCAACATAGTTAAGCATACAAGTAATACAGCTATAATGACTAAAACTGAGACAACGATGTGAACGAATGAGCCAGAATCTGGAACAATAATTATTCTGAAAAAACTTTTCTGCCGTATCCAACCGTCGACATGCCTGGCGATACATTGACAGTCAGCCCCGTCGTAGTCAGCACTGTTGTCAATCGTGACATTCACAGACCTGACGTTTAAAGTTTTGTTAAGTAAAGTTTGTTTTTCCTTGACGCACACCATTTCAATGGTCAGATCGTGCGCATCCTCCAAGCTACAGGTGAGCTCAGTACTGACGTCTGCTGCTACATGAAGATGACATCGGCTGTTAGATATGATAAGGTTACCACTGCCACTGTTTAACTTGATATTATTAGAGTTGTTCCCTGTGATGGCTGCCTCAAGTGTTGTCTGATTTGTAACAATGTTCTCGGCAGCGTTAGCTACACACAGAACATTGTCCGAGCGCTTGGTCTTGGCTGGTACTTGGAAACGGCTGCGATAAACAAGTCCATTCAGTCCATTTTCAACAGAGCTGTCCACTTCTTTGACTTCAGCATCACCGATGAATACGTTAATAGAGTTCAGAGACTTAAACCCACGAGCTTCACAGACTAGCATCTCACCACTAGCTGCCTCAGGACATGCCGGACTTTCAAGGAAAATCTCAACCTCGCGAGAAGTCCGCGAGATATTAATATCTCGCGTGGCGTCAACGGGAACGGAGTAGTTCCTGACGTAGGTGGTAATATCAGGAGCGAGAACTGCGAAGTACTGATAACTGCCAGGGGGAAGATACTGTACGAGTACAGAGCACGAAGATGCGCTGTACCCGTTGTACTGAGGCTCGTTCTTGTACTCAAGTCCAGTTTCAATGTTTGTAATTTTGCTGGTCCTTGTTTCACGTTGTGCCAGCTGACATTTTAGTCCTGGGTGCACTTTAGCCGTTAAACAGGTCACAAGAATTCGGTTATCTCCATTTCTTTCTGCCCGGCATATCGGCGTTTGGGGTTTGAAGAATATCTCTAGCCGGCACGTGCTAACGTTTGTCCTTGACCTTGTTTCTGAGTTCACGGCTACGCACTGAACACTCCAATTTCTGTGTTCTTTGGTGACCTTGTTGAGTTTGAGTGTGCTGTTATGTCCATTGTCGAGCTTGCTGCTCGTCACTTCGAGAGAACCATTAAATATAGAAACAGTACACGCGTGGTTATTTCGTTCAGGGCAAGTGGCATCCAACTCCTGACTAGATCCTGAATCGCTTGTCAACAACCAGATCAACTTGTCACTATAGACATAATGTGAAATATTAATTAAAGCATTAGTTGAAACAGAGCAACTTGTCACTATAGACATAATATGAAATATGAATTAAAGCATATGTTGAAACAGATCAACTTGACACTTTAGACATAATATGAAATATGAATTAAAGCATTAGTTAAGATCATGCCTGCTCAACTCATAAAGTAAAGCAGCCGAAATATTTGACGAAAGACTCGTGCAGGCTGACAGAAAATAGGACAGGCCGGAAAGCTATAGAGAAAAAAAATAGTAATAAATAATATTTTGTTACTTTGCGGGCCGCAAAGTTGTTGCTGGTGGGCCGCTTGTGGCCATATGAAACATGAATAAAAACCTTCTTTTAAGTAAATCTAGTGTTTGTATCGGTACAGCATATAATTAATAAATGCAATTTTATTGCTTAAAATCATTTATAAATATCTTGAATCCCGCAAGGTTTAGGAATAAGAATTATTTAGTGAGCCATTCCTTTTGTTCATTTTTTAACTCAAAAAGTTGCGAGATTATTAACCACCACCGTTTTTACTTTCAGTTCGTTACCCCACAAATCCCCCCACCCCCCCCNGTCTTTACTTCGCACAATTTCCTAATGGTACATGCATAAAAAAACAAAAACAGAACTTTTGTAAAAAAAAAAAAAAAAAAAAAGAAAGAAAAACAAACCATGTCTAATGTGTGCGTACATCATATGTATTCTGTAGACAGAGACAGGAAAGGGAGCAGAGACATTGCTTTCATTGAATTTGCAAGCTGAGCTTGTCCAAAATTAAAAAGGAATGTTGATAGTAGCATTCGATAGCATCAATGATTTTAATTCTGAGAGTGTATCTTAATTTCTGGAGATTCCATTCTGCATGTGTCTTTGACATTTTACAAGCAGAACCCGGGTAATCAGAGTGTGGTGAGTCTGATTTGTCACATGTATTTCATCTACACTGAAATCACTGCCTCCGACCAATGGATGGCTTGATAATATTATCTTATCTACGCTCAAAATAACTGCCTTCGACCAATGGATGGCTTGATAATCTTATCTTATCTACGCTCAAAATCACTGTCTTCGACCAATGGATGGCTTGATAATCTTATCTTATCTACGCTCAAAATCACTGCCTTCGACCAATGGATGGCTTGATAATCTTATCTTTTTTACGCTCAAAATCACTGCCTTCGACCAATGGATGGCTTGATAATCTAAGCTTTAACGTTAGGATTATTTCGTTAATAATTGGTAACACTTTAGGTTAACGCTGTGAGCGAATGGACTAGGTTTCATAATTGTTGTAGCGCAATAGATGGCTGTCAGTTATACGAAAGTTAAGTAAGTGATGGTCAATTTGTATTTGCTTTATCGCCCCTACTTTTTCACCTCTTTGCTTTGGGTTAGAGAGTCGTGTTGGTTTTGCGTTAACCTGATTTTTTAAAAAACAACAACATAAAACCAAAAAGAAATAAATACCACTGTTCAGACATATATGAGGACGCTCACCTGTTCCTATAATTAGAACATTGGATGCTGTAAGACTTCCCTTCTTCCACTGGTGGGCAGGTGGTCGAGACCAGGGCAATGGCCATAGCCAATGTAACGAAGTCTTTCTGAAGGACGGCAAGTTTTAAAATTCATTGATCACAGATATGTATCTGACATTGTTGCCACAGGATGTATCATCTAACTATTGTAATAGGACATTCTATTCTAATCTAAGTCACGATGAATTTTTTTAGCCAAAGAAAAAAAGAAGACATGGGATCTTTAAAAAATATATATTTAATGAATCAGATATGTCCAAAGTTATTTCATCTTTATCAGTTGATAGAGCGATGCAAAATAACAACTTAGGAACTAGTGATGTGATGTGAATCTGTTAACAAGATCTCGGGCTAGTACAAGAAAGATCTCCCTGCACTAAAGAGTGAATAAACGTGTAAGTCAAAGAATCTAGGAGTTCGATGTATTAAAGAAGTTAATGACAGCCGACACGTGCTTTCAATAACAGTCAAGATATTCTGCGACGAACATGGATGTCAACACTGGTGAATTAACAATAGCAAGAATGACCAGGGCAACGATGACCAGGGCAACGATGACCAGGGCAACGATGACCAGGGCAACGATGACCAGGGCGACGATGACCAGGGCAACGATGACCAGGGCGACGATGACCAGGGCAACGATGAACAGGGCAACGATGACCATGGCAACGATGACCAGGGCAACGATGACCAGGGCGACGATGACCAGGGTGACGATGACCAGGGTTCAACGATGACCAGGGCAACGATGACCAGGGCAACGATGACCAGGGAAACGATGACCAGGGCGACGATGACCAGGGCAACGATGACCAGGGCGACGATGACCAGGGCAACGATGAACAGGGCAACGATGACCAGGGCAACGATGACCAGGGCAACGATGACCAGGGCGACGATGACCAGGGTGACGATGACCAGGGTCCCAGAGGAATAAGGAGCACAACTGTCGGGCTGAAGAGAGTTCCTTTAATCTGGGATATAAAGATAATTATTATAATATATTAATTATCTCTGTAACTTACCGTGATCATGGTCTACATGGAGTGTCGAGAGAGATCCAACCTTCTCTTAAAAGTCTCAGAAATATGTGTTAGTCGCATAAATTTCCCCTTGCTAATTATAGTTGGTCCAAAGAAAATGTCAAAGGTGTTTGCATTAGGCCGACCGTCATGCACTCATATAGAAACAAGATATTCTTAGATATTGCTTGCAATTTCCCAATACCATACCCTTTCCTATAAAATGTTAAATATTTTCGGGTTTTCCCTATATGCACTATCTTTTAAAGGAAATGCCGTAAATCTTGGTAGGCGTATAGGATTTGGTTACCGGAAATTTGATCGAAAGAAATTACGTCGGCGGAAAGTTAATCGACAGAAATTCGATCTAACGGAAATCTAGTTCGAATCTTTTTTTCAGTCCATGCGTTAAAAATGTCCGTCAAATTTCTTTTTAAACACACGATACTATATAGTAAAACAAAATAATGCGTTCAAAAAGAAATTTGAAGCAAAGTTTTACTAAACGTGTAAACTGAAAAGAAGATTCCTTCAAATTTCCGTTCGATCAAGCTTCTGTTGATTAATTTTTCGTCGACGTAAATTTGTTTTTATTATGCACTCATATTTGAAAAAACCAAAAGCAGTGGCGTAGATAGGCGGGGTCGGGGGGGGGGGTATGGAGGGGCGGTATATCCAGAGCGGCACTTTGTCTCTAGTATAAGTAGGGGCGGTATTTTCAGCAAACACCAGAGATTTTTTTTATTTTATTTAACTTTGGTTACGTCACTGCTCTGGAGTAATAAAAATAGTGGTTTTTATGTTTCTCATATGATTTTTTGCTATTTATAATCAAGTTTGGTAGGTTGTCGTTCCTAGAATTAAGGTAAATATTTTCAATATGTAAATTATTGGTGGGGGGATGGGGTTGGGGTGGAGGTATGGGGTATGGGGGTAACGGCGTTATGGGGTTCATGAAGTCATGGGGGTAAAGAGGTCATGGGGTTTTGGGGGTAATGGTGTCATGGGGATAATTGGGGATATTTGTAGAGGGTTATTCTGGTTGGTTTTGGCATAGCATAAAGTCAACCCACAACGGGGGATGGCGGGGAAAGTGCGGGGCAAAAATGGTAGAGGACAGAGGAGAATGTGGGGATGGTAGAGGACAGAGGAGAATGTGCGGATGGTAGAGGACAGAGGAGAATGTGGGGATGGTAGAGGACAGAGGAGAATGTGGGGATGGTATTGGACAGAGGAGAATGTGGGGATGGTAAAGATTAGAGGAGAAAGTGGGGATGGTAGATGATAGAGGAGAATTATGGAATGGTAGAGGACAGAGGAGAAAGTGGGGATGGTAGAGGATAGAGGAGAATGTGGGGATGGTAGAGAATAACGAAGAATTTAAGGATGTAGAGGATAGAAGAGAATGTGGGGAAGGTAGAGGATAGAGGAGAATGTGGGGATGGTAGAGGATAGAGGAGAGTGTGGGGATGGTAAAGGATAGAGGAGAATGTGGGGGTGGTAGAGGATAGAGGAGATTGTGGGGATGGTAAAGATAGAGGAGAATACTGGGATGGTAGAGGATAGAGGAGAATGTGGGGACGGTAGAGAATAGATGAGAATTTCAGGATGTAGAGGATAGAAGAGAATTGGGGAAGGTAGAGGATAGAGGAGAATGTTGGGATGGTAGAGGACAGAGGCAAATGTGGAGATTGTAGAGGACAAAAGGAGACAGTGGGGATGGTCAAGGACACAGGAGATTGTGGGGATGGTAAAGGACAGAGGAGTATGTGGGGATGGTAGAGAACAGAGAAGAATGTGGGGATGATAGACGAGAATGTGCGGACTGTAGAGGATAGAGGAGAATGTGGGGATTTCAGAGGATAGAGAAGAATGTGGGGATGGTAGAGGATAGAGAATAATGTGAGGATGGTAGAGGATATAGGAGAATGTGGGGATGGCAGAGGATAGATGAGAATGTGGGGATGGTAGAGGAAAGAGGAGAATGTGAGGATGGTAGAGGATGGAGGAGAATGTGGGGATGGTAGAGGACAGAGGAGAATGTGGGGATGGTATAGGATAGAAGAGAATGTGGGGATGGTAGAGGACAGAGGAGAATAAGGGGATGGTAGACAACAGAGGAGAATGGGGTGATGGTAGAAGACAGAGGAGAATTTGGAGATGGTAGAGGATAGAGGAGAATATGGGGATGGTATATGATAGAGAAGAATGTGGGGATGGTAGAGGAAAGAGGAGAATGTGAGGATGGTAGAGATAGAGGAGAATGTGGAGATGGTAGAGGATAGATGAGAATTTGGGGATGGTAGAGGATAGAGGAGAACTATGGAATGGTAGAGGATATAGGAGAATGTGATAATGGTAGAGGATAGAGGAGAATGTGGGGATGGTAGAGGATAGAGGAGAATGTGGGGTTGGTACAGAATAGAGGAGAGTTTGGGGATGCTAGAGGTGAATGTGCGGACTGTAGAGGATAGAGGAGAATGTGGGTATGTCAGAGGATAGAAGAGAAATTGGGGACGTAGAGGATAAAGGAGAATGTGAGGATGGTAGTGGCTATAGGAGAATGTGGGGATGTCAGAGGATGGAGGAGAATGTTGGTATGGTGGAGGATAGAGGAGAATGTGGGGATGGTAGAGGATAGAACAGAATTACGGGATGGTAGAGGACAGAGGAGAATGTGGGGATGGTTGAGGATAGAGGAGAATGTGGGGATAATAGAGGACAGAGGAAAATGTGGGGATGGTAGAGAATAGAGGAGAATTTGGGGATTGTAGGGGATAGAGGAGAATGTGGGGATGGTAGAGTATAGAGGATAATGTGGGGATTGTAGAGAATAGAGGAAAATGTGGGGAGGGCAGATAATAGAGGAGAATGTGGGGATGGTAGAGGACACAGGAGAATGTGGGGATGGTAGTGGATAGAGGAGAATATGGGGAAGGTAAAGGTCAGAGGAGAATGTGGGACGTAAAAGGATAGATGAGAATGTTGGGATGTTAAAGGATAGAGGAGAATGTGTTTAAGGCAGAGGATAGAGGAGAATGTGGGGTCGGTATAGGATAGAGGAGAATATGGGAAAGGTAAAGGTCAGAGGAGAATGTGGGACGTCAGAGGATAGAGGAGAATGTTGGAATGGTAGAGGATAGAGGAGAATGTGTTTAAGGCAGAGGATAGAGGAGAATGTGGGTATGTCAGAGGATAGAGGAGAATGTGGGGAGGTAGAGGATAAAGGAGAATGTGAGGATGGTAGATGATATAGGAGAATGTGGGGATGTCAGAGGATGGAGGAGAATGTGGGAATGGTAGAGGATAGATGAGAATGTGAGGATGGTAGAGGATAGAGAAGAATGTGGGGATGGTAGATTATAGAGTATAATGTGGGGATGATAGAGGAGAATTATGGAATGGTAGAGGATAAAGGAGAATATGAGTATGGTAGAGAATAGAGGAGAATGTGAAGATGGTAGAGGATAGAGGAGAATTTCGGGATGATAGAGGATAGAGGAGAACTATGGAATGGTAGATGATAGAGGATAATGTGAGGATGGTAGAGGATAGAGGAGAATGTGGGGATGGTAGAGGATAGAGGAGAATGTGGGGATGATAGAGGAGAATGTGCGGCTTGTAGAGGATAGAGGAGAATGTGGGTATGTCAGAGGATAGAAGAGAATGTGGAGAGGGTAGAGGATAGATGAGAATGTTGGGATGGTAGAGGATGCAGGATAATGTGGGGAGTGTAGAGGATAAAGGAGAAAGTGGGGAATATAGATGATAGAGTAGAATGTGGGGATGTTAGAGGATAGAGGAGAATGTTGGGATGGTGGAGGATAGAGGAGAATGTTGGGATGGTCGAGGATAGAGGGGAATGTGGGGGTGGTAGAGAATAGAGGAGAATGTGTGGAAGGTAGAGGATAGAGGAGAATGTGGGGATGGTATAGGATAGAGGAGAATGTGGGGATGATAGAGGAGAATGTGCGGACGGTAGAGGATAGAGGAGAATGTGGGTATGTCAGAGGATAGAAGAGAATTTGGGGACGTAGAGGATAAAGGAGAATGTGAGGATGGTAGTGGCTATAGGAGAATTTGGGGATGTCAGAGGATGGAGGAGAATGTGGGAATGGTAGAGGATAGAGGAAAATGTGAGGATGGTAGAGGATAGAGGAGAATGTGGGGATTGTAGATTATAGTGGAGAATGTGCGGATGATAGAGGATAGAAGAGAATTATGGAATGGTAGAGGATAGAGGAGAATGTGAGGATGGTAGAGGATAGAGGAGAATGTGGAGAGGGTAGAGGATAGAGGAGAATGTGGGAATGATAGAGGATGGAGGAGAATGTGGGGATGGTAGAGGATAAAGGAGAATGTGGGGATGGTAGATGATAGAGGAGAATGTGGGGATGGTAGAGGATAGAGGAGAACTTAGTGATGGTAGAGATGTGAGAATCAGGGTTACAAGAGGCACCTGGTCATTTAAACGCTTTTCTACCAAATCGGCTATTTATAATTCCCTTTGCAATTCTCGAATTGAAATGTTTTCTGTAAGTTATAAATAATTATCTGGCAGTCAAAGCTATTAGACTAATATAATATATATGTCTTGACTATTTGATTTTTACAAATTAAAAAAATAAATTAAATTAAAATGACTTTTAATTACTTGATCAGATTTTAAAAAAAAAAAAACTATATTTCCATTAATATGTTTATAAATACATCTTTTTATTGTGTGATAATAATGTGTTGTTGGACATTTTCACATTATGTGATAGTAATATGTAGTTGAACATTTTCACATTATGTGATTTAATGTGTTTATTTGTACATTTTCACATTATGTTTTGTTAATGTGTATTTGTACATTTTCACATTATTAGTTGTTAATGTGTATTTGTACATTTTGACATTATGTGATTTAATGTGTTTATTTGTACATTTTGACATTATGTGTTGTTAATAAGTATTTGTACATTTTGACATTATGTGATTTAATGTGTTTATTTGTACATTTTGACATTATGTGTTGTTAATGTGTATTTGTACATTTTTACATTATGTGATGTTAATGTGTATTTGTACATTTTCACATTATGTGTTGTTAATAAGTATTTGTACATTTTCACATTATGTGATGTTAATGTGTATTTGTACATTTTCACATTATGTGTTGTTAATAAGTATTTGTACATTTTCACATTATGTGATTTTTTTTTCATTTTGCTA